CCCCAAAACCCCAAAACCCCAAAACCCCTTTTTATTTTAACAATTTTGAATCTCCAAAAACTGTAAAATAGGTTTGTATTTCAAATCTTAGGCGAATGATAATCTTACTACTCATAGAGTCCTCAGCCTTTCAACTGGCTTTCTTATGAATTTGAAGAAAGAGAGATTCATTAAAGCTAATGCTTCTAAAGAACCTAAACATATTGGCTAGAAGCATTGCTTACTGATTTGTCTCCTTTACCGATTTTATCTTTCCCATGCAGTTATTAGTAATTGACTAAATTTTAGCAACTCTTAATGTGCACAGACTCTTTAAGATCAGCGATCTGATTTGATTGGATCTGGATTATCAGCTTTATCAATATATAGACTAGTCACTTCTTCAGCAATTGTGGAATGAATTTTAACACGGTTACCTAATTCAGGCTTTATGATTCCTACTTTGATAGTAATAGCAATTCCTTGTGTTACCTCTCCAGCGTAGGATAGAGAATATGGAACCCAATCACTCTGTCATTATTTGCAGTGTTTGCTTCAATTTTTATGTATCTATTCCTCTCTTTAAGAATAGACTTTGCAAAGTTGCATTAGAATGAAGTCGCCATATTCCTCTCTAGCATCTTCTCTGAGCAACCTACTCATAAATACTTAAGAGGAGTGAAGATAGTAGTAGGAACATCACAAGAATCCATTGTAGTAGTTCCTTCAGCAAATAGTCTTTCAACCAATAGTTTCCCCTTGAATTACAGTTAGAGTAAGTTCCAATTCCCCATGAAGCATATCTCCAATAGCATAGATATTCACAACATTAGTTTTTGGCAATTGTCAGTAATGAATTCCCATTCTTTTCAGCAATGAGTCCAGCATTATCTAGATTCAAACCAGCTGTCACAGCATATCTACTAATTGTTAAAAGAACAGTAACTACTTCAATAGTAGTTTCTTAGTTTCCTACTGTTAGATATCAGGTTATCTTGCCAGTCTCTTCGCCTTTCTCAATTTTGGTAGGCATAGAGTCTCTAATGAAATTAATCCCTCTGGGCTTCATGTCTTTTGCAATCTTTTGCGCCATATCTTGATCGAAACCTCTCAGAAAGATTTATCTGACTCAAACTGAAACTTCTTTTCCAAAATGATGCAAAAATCCAGTTCTTTCCAACATAACATAGGAAGCACCTACCACAAGGGTTTTACCAGGGTTGTCTTTCATCCAAAAAATATCATAGCTGGTATAAGCTAGTTTTTATGGGAAGCGGTAGAATATTATTTTAGGTTTTTAAGATAAGGTAAAATCAAGGAGCATATGTGATAAAGAAATATTTAGCAACTCACCCAATATTTTAAGAATTGTGTTTAAAATTTATTTGAAAATAACATTCTCTATAGCTCTAGGAATATCAGGATAGAGAGGTCTGCTTCCAGTAACAATTAGGAAATAATTAGAAGTAATAATTTCTGTCTTTCCCTTCTTATCAACTAGTTGCATCGTAATACGGTTATTGTTATTGGAAATCATTTCCCCCTGCAATGAAAAGGCTTCTCATTCTTCCATTCACTCTCAACTTGGTTGTGATAAGTATTTCCTGGCAATACAAAGTAGTGCATCAGCTTTTTAGGACTCAACCAACATTAACTCATGTTCCTTCTATTTTTCACTTTTTTCTAGATATTTTTAGACAGAAATGGGGTTTTAGGCATGCACTTATTAAGATTTCTTGAACTAGGCTAAGTATGGGCTTTACTAAACTAGAATTATCTGAATAAATATGAGCTAAAATATTAGCTTGCTCAAACTCGATAGTTCTCTGAGCACAATTACCTTCAATCTTTCTTCCCTTTGGAATTGGCTTTACAAAGCCAGCTACTGCTACTTTAGCTCCTGCCTCTTGAGCAACCTTGACACAAACAAGCCCTCCAGAACCACCTCTGATCACAAAGATATCTTAGTCATAACTATGCTTGGATTCTTATTTTGAAGTTTTTGAATAGTTCATTTCTCAATTTAATTTTTATAATTTGGGGTTTTGGGGTTTTGGGGTTTTGGGGTTTTGGGG